AATCACTGGATCTGGAGTCAAATTCTATTGATTATTTTGGGTGAGTTTAGGAAGCCCTTTAATATCTGTCATTTGTGAAATCAAGAACATTCAAAATCATCTATAAAATTCTTTCCAGCTCTAAATCCTATCATCCTTCTTCTTTTTCCCTTTCTTTTATCAAACCTACCTTCTGACTAATTTTCATCACAGGGAATTAGCTACAACTGTGCCATAGAAGAAAGTATTGCATTATTGGGAAAAGTTCTGACTTCAGGGTCAGGCAGAGTCTGCTTTCTTATCTATAATATATATCTATATGTTCTATAGCTCACTACCTTAGTGACCTTGAGTAAGTTACATAAAATGAAAACAGTATATGCCTTATTGATTTGCTAGGATTGCCATGAGTGTAGAAAATGTGAATATGAAAAATATGAAAAAGCTTTGAAAGAAACAAAGTATTATCATTATCATTATTATTGGTATTGGCCCTATTGCTTTGGGAGACAAAGACTCTGAACTCTTCAGAAATAAATATAATATATCATCACCATCAGCAAGTATCTCCATTTTTGTTTTAACAGTACAGTGTACCCTGTGTTCTCCTTATACTTATGTTAAGAATATATATATTCTTATGTTATTTAGCTACAGCTTCCCATCAGAGTTTTCAGAATTGACTGACCAGATTGTCAGTAGCACTATGGTTGTGTATAAGGAAGCAATGAAGAATCTTTTACCAACTCCGACTAAATCACACTACCTGTTCAACCTCCGTGATTTCTCTCGTGTCATTCAGGGTGTTTGTTTGTCAAGACCTGAAAGCACAGAAGACCAAAGTACAATTAAGCGCCTTTGGGTACATGAGGTAAATTTTAATGTGACAGAAGTTTGATGATACTAGGCAAAGATCATTTGTACTGAAACATTGAGATGAAAAATTCAGTCATTCTACTTCACTCATTTAACAAAGATGCCTTGAGTAATAACTATTTGCAAGTTATTGTGCTAGGCACTGTGAGGACACAAGGATGAAATGTGTAGTTGTCATTATGAAAACAAAACCTTCAGATTGCTGACAGAAGTTTTCCCTTTTCACTGGAATGTTTTGATGTGGTATGCATGTAATAAATGCCTGAAATTACTGTTTTCTCTTCTCTGAAATTTCCTCCATCCTTCCTATTGATTCTTAGAATGTAAATGATGCTTCTGACAGTCTCTTTAAATATATTATCTCTTTTGGTTTGACTTGTAATTAACCTAGCTCTGGAAAAGGAACAATTTCATTATATAAGCTGCTTTTACTAATGTACTTATTTTCATTGTTGAAGTGTAGAAGTGAGTGGTAATAGAATTGCAGAGCAACCTACTCTTCATTAATGCACACTGCCTCATACATATGTGCTTAATTAATATTTGTTATTAAACTGAATTTTCAGATCTTATAGTTTAATAGAGAAAAGTCTTGTTCTTATGCCTCATTGTGGTATGGAGGTGACCCCTTGAATCCTATGTCAGTGGAGTATAAGCCCTGGAAAATTTTCCAGTGCTGAAAAGGATGTCCTAGTGACCAACCATATTTGGCCTCCCTAGAACAAGCTAAGCTAGCTAACAAATGGAGAGTCAGCCCACTAGCTGACAGTTTTTTTTTTTTGCCTGTGGTCAAATCAAGAAAAACAAAGAAAACTCTAAAATGGCCCTCCCTGTGCATCCCCCCCTTCTCCATGTTGACAGTGGTGGAGTGACACAGAAAAGGGCAATGGGTTCCAAGAATTGCACCATTTTTAGGCTACCTATACATAGTAACTTAACTGGCAGTATGTTAAATATCTCACCTTTGTCCAATGACCAACAAACAACATATCAACATCTTATTGGAAGAATTGAGCCAAACTGAAAAAATGAATAGATTTTTCTTATGACAAACAAAAGCAGAAGAAAAAAAAGTTGTAGCTACATGGAAGGAAGGGTCCAATGTTCTCTTTAGAAAGGCTAACAAAGTTGGTGGACTTGTTTCAAGAAACATCATTTCATGAGGTGCTTGTTCTTTTTGTCTTAAAGTTTTTGTTATGAGCCTAAGCAAAAAGGTCCTCATGAAGATAATTGCAGCTTGTGCAGCAACAGCTAATACTGACGATAAGTTTACCGTGATTTTGCCAAATCCTCTAAGCCAAGTCAACTTAGAATTTGATACTTGGTTACCTCAGTGAAAATCTGGGTATAGAAGAGGGTGGCAGAAAAAATTGTTGGAAAATACCGCTCAGGTTTGAGAAATGAAAGAGGCCAAAGGCTTGTAAATTACTCAGAGGTCTCATGTCTGCCAGAAAAGTGTTGTAACACTAGACATGGCAAGGAAAGGGAATAAGCATTTATTAAGTGCCTACCATGTTACCAAGCTATCTCATTTGATCAAGCAAATGACTCTGCATACAAAATTCAAAACAATGAAATTGACTGCCTCTTAATAAATAGGAAGTAAATGGTTGTATTAGAATCAGCTGCCTACATTACTGTCAAACCAGTAACTAATTAGAGTGAAGGTCAAAATCAACATCAAATTATGGAACATGGTGAAGCAGTAATCTCAGTCTGACTTTATTCTATTGAGCCATTGATGCTGAAAATTGAGAAATAGAAAAAAAGCCAAGATATCCCCCTGTAGTATCACCATTTCTTAGAAAAAGTCTTAATCAGTGTAAAGTCATGGAGGATTAAAGAAGTGCAGATACAAACTTATTCAACAAATACACAGTATTGTTGCCACGTCGTGAGAGATCAAAGCCTAGGACAACACTAGTTGGAAGACAAACTAATTTATAAAATAGTACTGAGGAGGATGGTGATATATTATGAGCAGTATTTCTTTTTGGAATAGCAAAAAGCAGCAGAAGTAAAACAAATTCACAGAAAACTTGGAGACCAAAATAATAACAACTCACATTTACATATTACTTTGAGCTTTGCAATGTGTTATATTTGCATTCATTATCTCATGCAATGCTCAGTGAGCCACATTATCCCAAGAGCATGCATGTAAGGAACTAGCTCAAGGATGACAAAGAATTGTAAAGTGGGACAAATAGGTCAGTATTCATTTGATGGTCTGTTTTCATTAGAATCAACAAAGGAACCACCCACCACACTTGGACCCTCAGTTCTGGTCCTCAGTGTACTATACAAAAAAGTAGAAATGGCTTTTAGGGAAGAGTAGCTGAACAAAACAAAGAGTAAACTGAAGAAGTCTGTACTGGAGGTGTTATAATCTTGGAAACAATGAAGAATTGCTTTAAAGGTATCTCAGAGACGGGAAGTTGTAAGCTCCAGGAGAACAGGGATGACATTTTATTCTTTTTAAAAAATGTCTCA